TAGATAAAAAAAAGCTACAGATACAAGTCTTATCACTCATATCTGCATACTACAGCCATCCATACCCACAAAGTAGCTGTCTTTCAGTTCAAGCAGAACAATGCTGCAAGGACCCTGCAAAGACCACCTTTTTTTGGGTAGGAACCATAAAGAAGCTGGTTTGAAAGCACTGCCACGGACATGACTTTTGCATTACTTATTTCTCCTTTAGGAAATTCTAGGGACAATCTCAAACCAGCCACAGAGAAGTGTGCTTGACCTTTTCTGAACCTGTATGTTACCTCCTGTTCTGTCCCTGAGCAACCCTGCAATTTCTGAGCTGGAGCTACCTAGGAGCTGGAGAGACCCTGCTGTTCTGTGATGGCTGGACAACTGCAGGGTGCCTCTCAGCCGCCAGAACAGTATTTGGAAGCCGGCAAAAATACTCAAGAGGATTCCCTGACTCCCTTGTCCCTGGGCACGCTTGCCACAGCTGCTGTGGGACTGCTGCTGCGTCCTGTCAGGGCTTTGGGCCACGCTATACTCTGCTGAGCACACAGATCCCAGTTCCCAGCTGTCAGCTCTTCCCTAATGGAGGCAATACCAGCTCCGTACTGAGTCAGGAGCAGCGCGGGGTTCTCACATCGCATGGCATCCCTCTGCTAAATGAGTTGCGTCAACTCCGCCGTCCAAGTGCCAAGTTGGCAGCTCCCCACCGCTGGCATCCTTTGAGTATGTAGTTCAGGGCAAGATGCAGGTCAGCACAGCGAGAGGGGGAAGGCAGGTGCCCAGCTGCAAGGAACACTTCCCCAGCAGCTTGCTCAGAGCAACTCAAGTTTCCTCCTGGCTCCACTTGCCCCAGCAGGGCAGATTGATTCCCCAGCCATTGACGAGTCATCTCCTCGGCGCAGTCCAGCCACAGCTTAGACACCAAACAGCACCAGAAGCACCTCTCGATATCAGTCTGGCAGGAAGGGTCTGCTCTCAAAGGTAGCATGGGATGGCAGCATCCATACCCAGCAAGGGCTCAATTCTTCTGCTGAGCATGCCCACATGGATGCCGAACAGCCCTTCCCAAGGCAGAGGTATCAGGTCACAAACGGCTTGTGCCAGCTAGATCAGTGGCCTCCTTTACAGAGGCAAGATTCCCCTTTTTTTTTTGCACTTGGAACAAGTTCCTCTGCTGTGAAACAAAAAATATCAGAAAAACATCTCCCTCTGTCTAGCTGTGATTGCCAGACACCCCAAGAAAACCAGAAAAGAAATCACACTTCAAAGTAGTACTGCCCAGCTTGTGCAGCCACGGCACAACAGTAAGCACCACCATACCTGAAGCTGCCCAAATGCTGCTTCTCTCCTCCTCACATTGTTTCTCTTCTCACTTTCATGAAAAAGCAAATCTAAAACTCCTTGCTTTTTCCAAAGCAAGAATACATCATGAAAGCAGAGGGGAGGGCTTGGCAAGGAATATGCATGCACAGTTCCTCTTAAGAGATACCTCACTTCTGGGACCAGTAATTCCAGTTTGCCCCCATGGTCTGCAATCTGAATTCACATTTGTTTTGAATATCTATCCTTGTCTCACACCCACACTCAAACCTGAAGTGGCAGAGCAGCTTTTAAGCCATGCAGACACATCTCCCAAAACAGAAGAATCGTGATGGTATTTTGCAATTCAAAGTCAAATCTGCAAGGCAGCGTCCTCAATTATGTGAGCTGTCACACACCGAAAACAGCATTGCATCCCATCAAGCACACATGCCACAGGGCTCTGTGTCCCAGTGATTCCGAGATCTGCAACCCCAAGTTGACTTCCAAACTGCAGTATTGCTAAGAGTACTGAAAACACTGGCTCTGAAACATGAGTCACAAAATCAGTGCACCATTATACGCTTTAAAGGAAGGGCTAATATCCATTAGATCTTAAAACAGAGGAGGACAGTAACACTAGTCTGTCTACTTGAGCCGTCATTCCCATTTCCATCTCCCCACTTCAGAAATCCTTAGACGGAGATTTTTTAAGCAGAGGAAATTGCTGCAGGGTAAAAGAGATGCTTGATTTGCAGGCAAATCCAACATCTCTTCAGTCAATCCTCCTTTTCTTTTTGGCTTTACCTCCCTCTCTAGGTTCTCTCTGGGATAAAGCTCACCTCATTCTGTCCTCAGCCCCATCCACACCTTCTCCAGCCCATTTCTTGCTGACACACATGCTGTGCCCCAGAAGAAAGACTTTTCTAACAGTTACTTCATGAGATACATCAGGCACCAAGTGGGCAGAAGGTCACCAGTGCATAATTCCTACTCCTCTGTCTCTCAGCTAAGGGACGGATGCCCCACTGCCTTCCCACCACAGTGTTCTCGACCCCTTGTCTTTGCAAACTGCTCATCTTCGCTGCACAAACTCATCAAAGCACTAAACCGGGCATAACCACGTAAATCATGCTTCACTGCTAAATAAAAGCCAGTGCAAATCCTGTTGCAACATGCAATCTTCAGAGCCGTAACAAACCAGCACCGAGACAATGCGTGGATACAACTCTCCAGGCCCAGAATCTCTTGGAGGTTTCAGAAACCTCACGTTTCTACTCAGAAATTACTCAAAGTGCAGGAGATTAGAAATAAAAGCTTTCAGGGCTGTGAGGGTGGAAAAAAAAGAGAACAATGAAGTGTTGCACTCATACAAAAGAAAAACCTAAGCACCTGGCTTGCTTGGTTTAACTGTTCAAACGCAGCTGGACAAGCTCACGTCTGCAGCACTTGTTCTGCCCCAATGTACAGACCAGCCAGTCTGTATTTTGATTGCACATTCCTTCATGAGCATGTCACAAATTTTCCTGGAAAACTCAGTTCTGCCTGGCCCCTCCGAAAGGTAGCCTTGCAATAGTGCCCACACGCACAACCCATGTGTCACACACACACCAGTGCCAGGTGGCCCCAGAGAACTTCCGTCCTGGTACTCCCAAACCAGGACACCATTAAGTTTATCCTAGTCTCAACATGGCCTTGGTTTTGATGTTAACTTCCACTGTAGCCATGACGGTTTTAACCAAACTCCAACTATTGTGTCTTAAGGTTAAAGACTAACACAGTTGATTTTCTGAAGAACAATCTCATCTTCCACAAGACAAATCTGAATTGCTAAGATTATTCATCCGATTTAGGAGCATGAGTCCTAATTGCAAAGGCACTTTAATGACACATGCTCACTGATCAAGGCCTGATTTTTAGCTGTATCTAAGTTCCAGTTCAGGTGATAGCAGAAGGGCACACACCAAGCCTGGTTAAAAGCACCTGCAAACAGTCAGCAGATGCTTTACAAGATGCTCCCTTGCTGCCTCTCCATTTATAATAGCACAAATGGTTGGAGGAGTTGCAGTGGTCCCATGGCCACCCTCCTGGCATTTTGGCACAGAAACAGGTCTCCACAAACCAGGTAAAATGTGCTGTACAGCAAGCTAAGGCTGACTCACAAACCAAGACCCTGTCAAGAAACTACCATGGTTGGTCTGGGCTGCAGCATAAACTGCTTTGTAAACCCCCTCAGGTAGATTGGCTGGGCAGGTCATGCTGCCTGCACCATTTAAAAGAAACTTGCTACACGTGGGTGGTCACAGGCAAAGGTAGGAACAAACCTTCAGCTATGCCCAAAGCTCTACCAGAAGGGTCTGTTTCCTCTCAGCATTAGCCAGCTCACGCAAAGCAGATATTTGTATTTCAGCAAGATGTTCTCCACTACTGCTGTTTTATCCCAGAAGAGACACAGGCACAGCCAATTCTGAGCCACCTGTGCTGAGTTCCTGGGTCGGACCAACACCTCCAGCCTGGGATAACTGTACGTGCCAGGCAGAGCTCAACCATGTATCACCAGTCAGGGCACTAGGAAGACATTTCTACTGCCATATATGCCCAGGAACACAGAAAAGCATCGGTGTACGATTTCAGATCAAGTACAGAGTTACACACATAATCCCTTTCGTGCTTGATTTACTGTGATTTGGGGAGGCATGTCTCCAGCAACCAGACCCACATGTGCTGCAAAGCACACTTCACTGGCCTTTAGGAAATACCCGTGAAATGCCAGATACCCATGACAAATCAGAGAGTTAGGAGGGAGGCTGACAGCAAGAAAAGCGAGTACTTCCAAGAGTGTTTGGTTACTCCACGCTGGCAGCCAGACAAGGCCAGCTGTAAGCCTACTTGGCTGCCTAACAGAGAGAAGGCTTTCACATACAAAGAGAAAAATCCCACCTGGACCATTTGCCTTCATGCAGTTCTCACTGCCACTTAGCACACCTTTTCTCATTGCTCCTTTCCTCCTGCTGTGCAGGAGAACACGTTTGCACATTATCAGCCTGATGGTGTTTCTCATTTTCATGCTGTTATCCCTGCTGTCAGAATTTGGGCTCCACTGGGACAACCAGCATGCAGTGGATGAGCAGGACCCTGTCTTTGGCTCTGTGGTGCTGCTTCTCTCTCTTCAGTTTGCTTGGGACCTTGAAGATATATTGTCCATGCTTCAAGACAGGGGCATGAGACAACCATAACGAAGC